AGAAACATGAGGAGGAGGAGGAGGAGGAGGAGGAGGAGGATGGGGAGGGGGAAGCACTGACATCATTGACAAAAACAAATTTCTTTTTGGATACTCTTTGAAAGAGATGTTAAAGTAGAGTAAGTACATGAAAACTTGTAACCAGCCTGATCAGTGGTGTCCAGGCACTGTGTGAGAACCTGGGTGTGAAGACCATTAACCATATGCTCACTGCTCAAAGGCACCCCACATGGTCAAGAAGCTTCTCATACTTCCATAAATATGTAAAAGTTCCGCCATGTTGTCAATGTTTCCAAACAAACGCTGACTTTCAAATGAAACATGCTTAAGCAGTGATTTGCCATACAATAGCTGGCCATCTGCTGTGCCCTGCCTGGTCAAACTGTTTTAATTAGCCTGTCCCAATTGGTGCACTTCAGATGGGTACCCCCATTGATTCCCAGTGTTCTTAGCCAACTGTGTTGTGATGGGGGGGGGCTGAGGATGGGGAGAGTGCTGGAAGCAATCCCAGGACAGACATTATTCTTCTCTGTCCTGGACCAGGTGATTAATTTCCCCCCCAGTTTATATTTGGGCTTCCTGCTGGGTCAACATTAATTAATGGAACTAACCAGCAATAAGAAATGAATGAACTCTCTATTAAATGTCCCTGTTCAATCTGTCCAATAACCACTATGCAGTAAGCTTGTTAAATCTGTTGTTTACTTGGGGTTTTTAATGCACTCTTAGATTTAGACAATGATGTGTGTGTGAGTGAGTGTGTGTACACGCAAATATACAGCAAGAGAGGGAGAGAGAAGCCCCCAAACTAGTGACCGCAAATGGTCACTATCCAGGAATATCTGTAATCTTGGTCCCAAAGGAAGGCACAACAACTGCCCCTTGTTACCCCTTCTCTTTACAATGAAGGTAAATCGTAGGGCAGTTATTCCGCTCCTTTTCTCTTTTGAAATTAACTTTGCAATCCCCCTGCGCCTAGCTTTGCGCGCTCAGGGGCAACTTGTTACATTCCTTCGGACTTCCTCCAGCGCGCAGGGCTTGCGGGACGCCCGTAAAGATGTCTCGGAAGAGAACTCCAGTTCACCTTGTCTCGCTTGGAAAGGAAATCGATCTCGGTTCCCGAGAAGAGTTCCCCAGGGATGAAAACCCCGTCTTTCAAACGGATAAAATGCTGCCTCTTCCACGGATTTGCCCTGTTGAGCTTAGCCATCGACCACCGGCTCCAGCTCCGACTCTCCCAGGTCCCCCTTCATATATACGTTAGGGGCGAGGTCGACCTTCCTTCTCCCATCACGATTTTCGCTCCAAATGCCGGGTCAGTTCAATTGCCAAGGCCAAGCAACGATTCTCTAGGGGAGGGGGGTCTCAGGGAAAACCATCCCTAAATGTCTTTCTCTCTCCCGCACCCCCTTTCTCGCCGCGCCTCGATGTCCATTCTTCCTGCCTGCAGGAATGCGTTTGCCACAGGCTGAACATCGCCGCCTTGCAAAGCGACGGAACTGCTTCCCTGGACCCAGTTCAGATACTGGGGAGCCTTCTTAGCCAACGTAGAGAATCTCGAGTGGGCGGAGGGAAGGCGAGGGATCTACAGTCCCTCGTTCCACACAAAGAAACAGTGCCCCCCCTTTCTTCGCTACCGACAGGTAAGGACTTACCTTATGAGATTCTGCAATCCCTGTTTGCTGGAATTCCGCCTCAAGATCGCACTGGTCATGGTGGGCGAAAATGAATGCGGGGCAGGGACGGAACTCCTGCTTGCGAACCCGCCTTCTTCTCTGCCCACCCCCACCCCAATCTCTTCCCCAGCTTTTAAGTGTCTTGTTAGTTACTATGGTCTGACTTGTCCTCTCTCTCTCTCTCTCTCTCTCTCTCTCTCTCTCTCTCCTCTCTCTCTCTCTCTCCCTGCCTTCTTTCTCTTTCTTTCTCTCCCTCCCGTCTCACTCTTTTCCCCCCAGTTCAGGAAGTTCTGCAGCTGGTTTCCTTTTGTTTCTCTAAGCCCGCTATCCCACTCGCGCTCTAATACTCCCCCTCTTTCACCTCGACGCCCTCCTTCTCAAACGAGAAGAAACATCTAGGGAAAGAAAAGGATTGTTTTTGGAAAGCCGGCAAGAAAGAGACAAAGAAATATTTTGATGTTTAAAAAAAACCCACACACGTGGCGTCTCAATTTTGTCAAAATCAAAGATACATATTTTTCATCCTGACAAAATCCAAAGTTTACTTGTTAAGAATGCAAAGCTGGATCAAAGATGCATCCTCTTAAGAACCAAACAGCATCTAAAGATGTTCCATAGAGTTCTTCCAATGCATTGATGTAAGCCTGTCCAACTCCACCAGATTCTGCTGAAACTTTGGACAAGATTGGAACTAACAGAAAACTATTCTAGTTTCAGTTGTATTGCTGAAATTGGGGCTATTGGGCAGCGTTCCCTAATTTCTGCAGAGGAAGCACTTCTGTGCAGAATTTAAAGGCTCAACAAAGGTCTGTGAATTAACATACGTGCTTATGTAGAATGGATGCAGAATGGATGTGTTCTGCATTCATGCAGCCACTGCTCCCTGTGAACTTCCAAAGTAGGTGTAGTAAAAAAAAAACACCATTTGTAGGATTGTCCCATAGGAAACAGCTAGAGAAATCAAATAACCATGATGTGGACGATTGAGAATCTCCATAGACATCTAGAAAAATCAAATTCTGAGATGGACAAATAGCCTCATTTTGTGTTGAAAAGTTAACACAGAAGATTTTTTTTAAATCCAACCTTGCCATAGAGTTGATTTAATGGCTATAAGAAGAATTTATCTTCACAAATATTTTCTGAGGATGTGGTAAAAGGATTGATACTTCCAATTTTCAGTTTTGTAGCAGCTCACTTTATTGACTATCTGATAATTAGGGCTATGTTTCCTATCATCTCTCAGTCTAATAATACAGCTAACTGCACATCAAGGAACATTTGTGTATTTAAAGAAGGTTGTTGCATAAAAACTAGTAATCCATCATTTTCTGTGGCAAATCCAGACTTGTGATTTTTAACTAATAATTTCATCAAACCAATCCAATTTTCTTGGTTTGCATGACACCATGTTTTGGTCTCAATATATCAACTTATCCTTTGGATTCTAGATTTGAGTAGGGAAGAAAAATCAGGCTGAGTATGTTTTACAAAGGGTTAACAGTCCATTCCTCATTCCCTGGAGTTAGAGCAAGTATTATCCTTAGTCTCAAACAGAATATTCAAATTCCTCATCAAATAACATCCAATTTACTTTCAAAATATAGCCTGAAGCAATTTCACTGACTTCAAAAAAATTGCCCTGGAGTTATCCATTTAAAGGCTGAAACCAGAGTATCAAGCCATCACCAGCAAAGATGGGAATGAAATGAAACTAGGGTCCAACAGTCACCATGCTCTTAATATAGACTGGTATGCAACAGGACTCATTGCAAACTGAGGAGGGGCAGAGAGGAATGTGAAAAGCTGACTTTGGTGACAAGAAAAAGTTTTGAAACATGGCAGTGTCATAGTAAGCATGGTAGCTCTGGGGTAGGAGGTGAGGACTGAGCTCAAAAAATGACAGCACAAATTATACTAGCATCGTTATTGCCACAACTAGGAGTGTTGAGGAGCAGAAGATTGTACAGTATGTTGAAAACTGGTCAATGCAGCCTGTAGAGATTGGGGTTGTGTTCACCCAACACTCTAACCCATAGTTGAACAAAACAGTTTAAATTAATCCAACCATAAACCAATCATGATTTAGAATCACATAAACAAGCCAACCATACAGTATGTTAAAGGTGTGTGGTAAATGGGCTATAGTAATTTATCTAGTTCCCACCTGAGTAGTAGTAAAAATACGGAGATATTTATTTCAATCACCCTCTCTAACTCTATTCCCCTGTCTCAATTTTTAGACAGTTTATGAAACTAAATACCCAACAGTTTTTTCCCAGCACATGCATTCGCTAAGTTTATGGAACACTTATGATCAAGGAAAAATCAAGAGGTTTGGGAATGGAACTTTGGGATAGTGAAGACAAATCAGTGGAAACATTAATTCCGTAAGAGTAAAATACACCTGGGCCCAATTAGCCATTATTTTCTCCTTTTTCCTTCTTTCTCACTTACATGTAGAGTAAGACTTCTAGTTCAGATCTTTTGCTCCCTGCTTCAGCTCAGATTAAACAAAGCTCTTCTGAGTGTACCCTCAACTCTCATCTAATCTTCAGGGGTGGGGGGAGAGATTTAATCCAATGTGAAACAAGTATCCGGGATGGTCTTTCTCATTCTACTCTCCTCTGGAGATGCTAGATTAAACGGTCCATAACTCTTACACAGTATGGTCAATGTAGTTTGGTCATAAAGAGGGCTAATACACCTGCATGGGATGAGATGGAGGGGGACTCATCTAGATAAATTAGGTACTTAGATGATGGCCTATTGTCATGGTAGAGATTAATATTACTCCAGCAGCAATGATGTTTCTCCATCATATTTGAATAGGACCTTGGCATCTAATTGGGGGGATATCAAGACTTGCAGATGAATTGGATTAAATTGAGGGAGAGGAAGATGGAATCTCTTCCCAGATTCCATCTTCCTCCAATAGCAGGACAAGAGTCAAGACAGTTGGAGAGGGGCTTGGTGCAGCAGTTGACCAGGGCATCTTTTGTGTCTTGCCGTGCCCTTAGCATACTACGTTGTTTGCAGAGACCACCTTCATGACCATTGTCCTATTCTAGTAGCTTTCATCCATTCAATCCTCAAGAATCTGTCTTCACATGCTCAGGATAGACAAGTCTCTATCTCACTGAAGGTCAATGACCCAACGGCTACTCTCAACCCTGGTTTGGCCAGCCTGATAAAGCTATTGCCCGGGATATTGCCACTGCACATGCTACAGTACTAGGAGCCACAGGTGAGAAGTGAGAGACAGGTGGGGACCAAAGGTGGATGAGCTGCCCCAAAAGCTACCCTAAAACAAGCTGCCCTAAAAGAAGACGACATGCCCCTACACCAGAGGTGCTACCCCTCCCTGAATACCCCATACACCCATAATACTGCCATAGAGCCTCTCACCATGATACAGATGAATAATATATAGCAATATCAGTGGACTTATATACCGCTTCATAGGCCTTTCAGGCCTCTCTAAGCGGTTTACAGAGAGTCAGCATATTGCCCCCAACAATCTGGGTCCTCATTTTACCCACCTCGGAAGGATGGAAGGCTGAGTCAACCCTGAGCCGGTGAGATTTGAACCGCTGAACTGCTGATCTAGCAGTAGCCTGCAGTGCTGCATTTAACCACTGCGCCACCTTGGCTCTTAATTGAAGCAATGATTAGCGTCCTAATCATTCAATCTTGATAAGATTGCCTCTTATTCATTGTCACACTGGCAGCACCCAAGAAAAGTGGGGCTGCAGTAAAGGAGGAGGATTAAAGGTGGTTCTGCATTAGGCAGAATCAGATTCTATGGGAGGGTAATAATAGCAAAGTGAAAGCTGTATGTGCTTCATATAAAATACCTTGCAATCTCTAATCTTTAAGGTAAATTGGACTAGAAGACCTTCAAGGTCCTTTCCAATTTTGTTATTCTATTATTGTTTGTTTGTCCAGATAGCAGACGATCGTGGCCCATTAGCTACAGCTGATCCCCTATTGATACCAGTCCTTATGGTGAAGGTAAAAAAAGGAATCCTTCAATCATTCTCTCCATCTTTGCTGCTAGAAGAAGCAAAAGACAGAAATGGTTTTGTCCTCTCCCTGTAATTGCAAAAAGAAACGGGGATAGGTTTTAGGGGTGGCTTATAGCAGAAACAGATGAATATTCATTGCAGATGCCTTGCAAAATAAAGTATTTTTCAATTGCTAAGGAAACTTTAATGTGCTGTAAAACATGAGGAAATGGACATTGGGGAGGGGGAACTCTGAATGGTAACCCCTGCAGTAAATATACAGCCATGCTAAGAAGACACCAGGGAGCTACTCATCTGCTCCCCACAAAAAAGGAAGTGTTTCAGGGTAAGGGAAACTTCAAGGGAGGAAGTGAATCAGGCTTTGTGGTGGGAGGGAGAAAGTCCCCAAGAGAGAAAGACACACCAGCCTCCATCTATTACACAATCCTTTTGCTATGTGGGGGTGGTTGCAAAATCATCAGAGAGCTAAAACATGTTTGGCAAGAAGACTAAAGTATCTAAGTGAAACTCATCACTAGCTCAGCCTTTTCACTGAGACATCCACATGTATGGTTTCCAATCAATGAGACAGAGAGAAGGAGGATTGCCATTAGCTTTTGGGGTGGGAGGGATTAAGAAGACACTCCCTATGTTTGCTAAAATACAGAACAGAAAAGATAAGCTGGAAAAAAAGTTATTTTTCTTTCTTTCTCTTTTTTCTTAGGGCATCTAAGTAACCAAAACTTTATGCACTGATTTAAAAGTCATTTTTTTTCTTCTTCTCTATGCATATACACTATCTTCCAAATTGCTATTTTACCATGAATGTTTTATTGTATTATATACTGTCCCGACACCATGATATGTCTAACCGATTTGGTGCCATACAAGTCATTAAAGAAATAAATAGATGACACTAATCTAAATAAATAAATGAACATGTTAAACTCTTTAACCTTATTAGATTCAAAGTAATCCCAACATACTGTGATGATGAATGGAATTTACTGGGTTGGTAAGAGCCAAGGTGGCGCAGTGGTTAAATGCAGCACTGCAGGCTACTGCTAGATCAGCAGGTCAGCGGTTCAAATCTCACCGGCTCAGGGTTGACTC